TCGCAGTCCCATTGCGGCTATACAAGTTTCATTTACATCAATACTATGTGACTATAATTTTTTTTTATATCATAACGGCAAAGCGACGGCTACTCATAGACATTCCGCAATAGCAGAAGCGTTGCCTACCCTTAATCGACAAAGGAGGAGACTCATATAAAAAGGATATTTCCTCTTTCTATGCGTCTCCTCCGCCGTCAAATCCACGTTCTCGTCCCTTGCTTTTCTTGTAAGAAAAAGGGACTAAAATTGGGCTTCCGGCACCACACTCATCAGACGAAACGCGGAATTGCTCCCACTTTACGTCTGTCTTCTGTGTGGTCGTGGTATTTCACCGGGCGAGCCGACTTATTCGTGCCAAGAAGTTAAAGCGGGCTCTACCAAAAATTGTGTCTGAATCAGTTTTTATAATTGTCTTAATTTGTAGATGTAAAAGAACGATCTGTAATTATAAGATCAACGTCTTATGCTGGGTTGTTGAAGTTTCCGTTTATCTCATTACCTAGTGATTCATTAATATTAGGTTGAGTCGAGTTTCAAAGGAGTAAAACTCAAGCTACGTAGTTCGGAAACGCTATGGAGTTATGGATCCAACAACACTAACGAATGGTTAAAAGTAACTGGGAATCCGGCCATAAGTCTCACTATGATAGGAAATTAACATAAAATTAATGTGTAAAAGGTTATTGCCTCTTTTAATTGTGCAAACAGCTAAATAATGCGTTATATATTTCGCAATCCTCTGTGCCAGTGTGCGTCATTTGATAACTTTAATATGTTTTGCTCAACTAATTATTCAAAAATGTTATCGGAATTTTTGGTGTATAGAGGTTATCGGTATACAAGTTATTTTTATGTAACTGTGACACAATTTTATATTCATAATTTAATTCTGAACGTAACTTACGCATGTTCCTTTTTATTTTTTTTACAAAATTTGTATTAAACGTATAATTAAATGACGTAATATTTTTTTTATTTTTGTCTATGTATAAGAATTAATTTGAAACCATTTCTAATATAAATATTATATTAAAAATCACATGTACATTTGGAAGATGCTCACCTTGGTGACATATCCGAACACGTTGGAATAGAACGCGAAGTAGTTCTTGGTGATGTAGAGGTGACCTTGAAGCAAGAGGTCACCGACTAGAGCGCACGAATAATCTGAAATATTAATGCAAACACTGAGAAGTTAATTTTAATCGATATTTGATATTTTTAAATGCAACTTTAACGCTTCTTCTACAAACTTGAAAACCTACATTAAAACTGTGGTTACATTGTATAAAATAAAAATATTTGCATGACGCAAAGAGCAAAGGGTAAATAGTATTTTATATTATAGGTCATCATCATCATCCACTTGCCCTTATCCCTTACGGAGGGTCGGCACAGTATGTGCTGCTCTTCCATACATCTCTATCAGCCGTCATATCTGAATCCATTCCTTTCTTAAGCATATCCTCTTTCACACAATCCATCCATACTTTCTTCGGTCTTCCTCTTCCTTTGTAGCCATCCGTATTCAATCTTAACACTTTCTGGTTATTTTATATTATAGGTAACTGTACATATAATTTTTTCCGCTTTATACGATTTAAATGTATTTCGCTATCATAATACGATATAACCTCTCGAAAACTGACTACCATTTGACCTCCACTGTTATCTATGTTATAAAGAGGAAAGATTCGAATTTTTGTACTGAAATAACTCAAAAAATACTGGGCCGATTTTAAAAATTCTTACACCAATAAACATATGTTATTTCTGAGTAACAGGTTATATAATTTAATTTCACGTGGACGAAATCGTAAGCTTGTCAACGAGTAAATAGGCGAGATGATGTCACGCATGGCAACAATAAAACATTTAAAAGTACAGGGTATTATGATGAGTTAGGTTAATTTAGTTTAAGCTATGAGTACTTACAGTTGAGTACGCGCTCGTCTGGTCCCACTTGCGGAAAGTGTCTCTGGAACTTCTTCTGGCGCGCTTTGCCGGGCGGCTTGCCGTCCGCTGCGCTCGTCGCGACCGCCGCACCGCTCGCCGCGCCATCTTCGAGAGGCCCGAGGGCCGACACTCGCACCGACGGCGCGGACCCCGATAGCGGTTTCACTACATGCCTGCAATTACCTCAAACTTTACAAAACCATATTGTAGACACCTGACAAATAGACAGAGTATAACCACATTTAATCTTTAAAAAAATCTCAATCTGCGTCATTTTTATGGGTTTTTAATCTTTGGACCCTAGTTAGGACGTCATTAGATCAACAATTTATCTAAAATGTTACAAAGAAACACGACAATCATACTCAGAAATAAATTATACAGTTTATGTCGAAACCTGAACTACGAGACACGATCATAACAATACGAGATAATCACTTTTTGTTATTTACTTGATTTATTTATAATTGTAAGAAAAAGGGAGTCAGATTTTCATCCTATATTTAAAACTATATAAGCGATTATTACGATTGAATGAAATTATTAATATTTATACAAACTAAATAAAATAAACTAATACCATTTTGATTCGTTTCTTTTCTTACTATTTTTTTCACCTTACGGGTACTAATATCTTTTTAGCAAACCAATATCAGATATGAAAACATTATTGGCAAAGTCGTAGCCAAATAATGTCACAACGTTCTGTTTAGGAGACACTATGAAGTATTCTAGGAGTTACATTAAATTTAACAGACTTGTTAGTTTGTGCTTAGTTTTTGGTATCTTTTATTATGGTTACTAGTCCATCAATCTTGGCACATGGCGGGTAAACACGTACGTCTGTTAGTGATAACGTAACGCAATCAAAGTCGTGTTTACACCGAATCCATTCCATTGTGCGGCAACGCTTACCTAAACATAAGTGACATTTACTTGCTGCTTAATGGAAAATTTACTAACACTGCCACGATAATCTGTACTATTATTATAAAGGTAAGATTTTTATTTTTGTACGAAATAACTCAAAAACTGGACTGATTTCAAAAATTCTTTTACCATTAAAAAGCTACGTTATTGCTGAGTAAGACAGGCTACATTTTCAAATTACACGTGGAGGAAGTCGCAAGCAACAGGTAGTATATTACAAAGATCAAATGTGCCTAATCGAAGTGAATTTAATTTTGATCAAACAGGTGTGCGCAAAATAGAGATAACGTGGTAGTAAATGATAATGAGCAATGTGTAAATTTAAAACCAAATACGTTAAAATTGTGATTCAAAAGTTCTTAGTAACGAAACCAATCAGTTGAGTTAATATTTAAAAGAACATTTTGTTCTGTTCTTTGATCTGTTCTGTGTAAACGGAAATTTGTCTTCAGACACACACATCAGACGAATTTATTTTTAAATAATTTTCTATTAAAAAAAAGGCCTACTTTTTAAAGAAGGTGATAACCATCATTACAAAATCGTCGCACTTTTAGAGTAAGCTAAAACAACTGACCGAAAATGTTTGCGATGCCAGATTATATTGCATTCGGGTCGAGTTACTCCCGTTGGGATGATTGGAAATTTATTCTTTTCCATATATCAGAGCCTGAAGTATGAATATAATTCATATTCATTGATCGATACAAGTTCTAGATACATAATACATTTTAACATCTACGTAAGTGATCGCATTTTAAGAGGTTAACTGTACTAGTGACGCAAGTTTGTTTGTTATCTGTTAGTCAAGATTGTTTATCTTAGTTCAATAGGTAATGTCGAGCTATAACTGAGTTCCCATTGACACAATATTTATAAAAAAATATATCAGAAACCTATTGTAACTCACAAATACGATAAAAAAAAAAATTATTGTGAAGAATTTTGTAGGTTAACTTTGATCCATCATCTTCCCTACCTTATCCTACTCTCGTAGGGTCAGCGCAATAGGTTTTCGTCCTCCTAATAACTCTATCATCCGTCATCTCAATCATCACTCCCTTCTTGATCATGTCACTGTACATGTCATGTACGCAATCCATCCATCTCTTTGTAGGTCAACTTTGATTCTAGAATAAATAACAACACATTGAATCTTCAATACTTAAAGAATACTTAAGTCAACGACTGTCATTGGCAAGGGTCAAATATTCACTACTTTGACCTATCAGTCGAGAACATCGCTTACAGAATCTGATCTCAAGGCAGAATCATTTCATCACAAAACGAACAGGAAGTTCGTCTCCATGTTTATATTTTATAACACACATAATACTGCATTTGTCTGAAGACAATACAATATATCCTTTGTTTTATTAACAATTTATGACAATAACGAAGAAAGTAATCTCCGCTATAGAAATTATATGTTGGTATCTGTTCGTTCTTACAAATCATAACAAAACATCTCTGTAAGGTACTAGCTGTTGCTTGGGACTTCGTTTGAATGAAATTAACAACTACATCTATACTAATACTAATATAATATGTGAAATTTTAGCGACATGGACTTAACGGAATACGAATAAAATTCGTAAAACAGATGTAGAAAATAGAACACAAGTTACTAGCTATGATTTTTAAGTTGCTTCGAATTCACGGATAAGAAAATTTCTATTGACAAACAACTCTTACCCATTGGTTTCTTGATTCTCCGTTAATTTGAAAGATCCTTCGTTGCTCGATTCATCGGAATATTCGAATGATACGTTATCCACCATACTTGTGTATTCACAACACTCAATTTAGGTCGCTCGTTGTTTTTATGAATCATAACATATTGTGAACGCTTAACGTTCTATATGCACAGCTGCCGAATAATTTACATCGACGTCACATTTTAACAATACGGAAGGATCTCTGATATCCGGGGCGTCAGAGCAAATGCGAATGAATGCAACTTAGTATCGGATGAAATCGATTCACTGCGTACAACGGAATATTGAATGGCATGCATGATTATGTGCAGTTTACAGCAAAAACGATCGAATAGCGTAGCACAAACCATAGTTGTTTATCGCATTTTAAATCATAAAATACATCATAAATGAACGTGTCTTTAATTGTGTGGTAAAAATGATGAAATATTCGGGATAAAATGTATGGAATCTGACACTAACCGGTATGAATTGTATCACAAAAACAACTGCGACCTTCCGTACACATTTCACGCTAAAACACAAACACACTCGCTAAACCTGTTGTCCGTTCGAGTGGAGGCTTAGGAAAAACACAGACAACAGAAGCGATAGAAGCACCCGAGCCGCGATCTATAAAATAACTGTCGATAAAGTAACGCGCACACACTTATCGATTGTACATCGAACACGGATTAATTTATCAGAAACGATAAGATAGGCAACCGCTAGTCGAGCGTGGCGGATTACACGCTTTTGATATTTCTACTGGCGCGAAATGTGATCAATGTCGAAGCTGTATAGGGTTCATCGACCTCGTAGAGCGGTGAAAAGGAGACCGTTAAGAGACAGGGGGTCATCGTCGCCAACGTCCAATTCGCGAAACATCCGAGCCTCCGAGCGGGCGCGCGAGTAGGCAATGCCACACTGGCGCACGCGCAGCGCTGCAACCGCGACCGCCTGCCGCCTGTGAGCCACGATCATTTATCAACACGCGGTACGGTCAGACAAAACAATAGACCCGGAAGTTGAATTTATTATTTTTCAATGCTTTCTTGAAAATTATCTGCCGATAGTATTTATAACCATAACGCCGGGTTCAGAAGCACATAGGTATCTTCTTTGACCCATTTTTGCTTAACATAAATGCAATCAGAGATTGTTAAGGCAATTTATACCAACTATCAATAAAATCAACTAGTCTGAACATCTTTGAAAGCGACAATAGCAGTAAATATGGTCAATAAGTAATTGACAAGATAATCCTAATTGAAAACGGGAGAAAAATCTACCTATAGTTAATAAAGTGTACACTTTTTTATTACAATAAAGTATACACTTTTTTATTAACAAAAAAGCAAAAACAAAATCTCATTTCCGCACTACAATATTTCCACTTTTGCACTGTATACAATAAAAAGTCGTAACATTAAATGTTTTAAGCTACAAAAAGATAGTGTAGTCAAATGAAAATCTCAAAACTTCCTCTAACAAAGTCTATGCTCAACTAGTATTAACTAGCACATATGGTTACACATTACCTTTATAATAATCTTTATGATATCTATATATAACAAAACAAAGCACTTGCCGTGCTATTTCTTACAATAAAAATACAAGAAAAAAATAACTTCAATGTTAGAAGAGAACACAAACCAAGGTGAATTAAATTATACTTTTATATGAACGGAGCTGGTTTATTAACAAAAACTATTTCAATTTAACATGGTTTTCGCTACCTAAAGTTAGTGTTGTAAGAAAAGAGATTTTTCGGCAAAGTTGCAGATAAAAAAAAATACTAAAAAAGAACCTGCATAGATCACCAACCTTTTAGACAATTAATTTATCTATTATTTGTTTCATGGAATCAACTTTACCAATTACAGTCATCTATCTAGGATCTACATGGGGAAAACCAAGCAGGGTATATAAGGCAGTATATTAAATTGCGAGGTGCGACGCGACCGTGAACAAAGATAACTAATTATCATCATCATCAACATCACCAGCTCACTATACGTCCCCACCGAGCGGCTCAGAGCCTACCCTAAATTAGGATGACTAGGCCATAGTCAACCACGCTGGCCTACTGCGGGTTGGTTGACATCAAACATATCTTTGAATTTCTTCTCCGATATGTGTAGGTTACATCACGATGTTTTCCTTCACCGTAAGAACGTTGGGCAAGTAGCTAACTAATACTCGCCCTGAATTTGGACCTTCGATGGGTGCGAACTAGTCGGTACCGTCACGCAAAGATAAAACGTAATTTGAGCCGTCTTTAATTTCGCTTAGGTAGTATGTTTGTTTTGTTATTAATAAAATTATATTCTGCTGTCTGTACATGTGCAATTCGCATGAATCGAGGGCGAGTCGGGATCGAGTAAATTATCTATGTTGATTGGACAAATGGGCACAATTCGTTTCGTTTACGTTCGTTTCTTGCGTCAATTCTAGCTAACACTAGTTGAATGAAAACGTGAGACTATATTAGATGATGGATAAGGATTTGCTAGCACGGCAGAAACCAATAACCGATCGTACATATTCAATAAGAAGATTATATCAATTACTTAAAGAAAGATTTTTTTTGTTGTAACAATAGTGCTGCGGAGGCAGCAGGGACAGTTTCGTGGGGGCCTCAAGGCCTTATAACTCAAAGAAAGATAGATAGATAGATAGATAGATAGATATATATCTCAATGGGTCCATCGTGCAATAAAGGATCTCTTTTCTTTCGAATGAAATTTCTATGTATTTGTCAGTAAAAGAATAATATTTAAATTCAATACAATCTACGGATAGATTAATTTTTAAATTTAGTTTCGTTGAATGTAGGTAAACAGTAATGTTTTTAGTTGTTTTGCGACAATCTGTTGCGGAACACGTGTTCACTCGTTAGTTAGGATATAAAACACATGGCTAATGTTAGCATATGGTTAATTGCGACCGTTTGGCCTTCAATGTTGTGTACCAAGGAAATTGTTACGAGTTAAAATTGTCCAGATATACATTAAATCATTCAATAGATATAAATTACAGGGTTTAGTGGCAGCACGTAAATAGATTAATACTAGCTTCTAC